CGCAGTCGACAACAAAGGCGTGTGCGCTTGGTTACCCAGTGATTTCAAGACTCGTCTGATGGCAGCGTGCTTCGCCTCGATCGCAGCCGTGTCGAACTTTGCAATAATAAGAACAACTCGGATCTCAAGCAAGGCACCTGCGCAAGTGAGACCACCTACATCCAGCCAGTGCAAGACAAAATCTTTAGACCAATCGCACCAGAGGTGGCGATCATTGGCGATCTCTCTAGCAAGCTCGTCGCTCGGAGTTTCCAACAACCTGAACATCTTGAAAGGGTACCCCTGGTGGAAATCCATGACATATGTAGCCATGCACAATGTTGACGCTAAACCCTTGAAAGCTTTATTCCGCAGCGCAACGTCCCTGCACTCCAAAGGAACACTTTCCCACAGAGAAGGCTTCGACATTCTATCGGCCACATCACTGATCAGAGCCAGCTCCACTTTGCAACTTGCTGCCACGAGCCCACGGTAAGATCTGAACGCTTGATCTGCGCCAGCTACAATGTTGGCAATAGACACAAAACGTTGTTCATCCTCCCAGCGGTGGCCGCCAAGCACGAGCAACTCTGTCATAAACCTCCTCTGAGGCTCTATAGCGTTGGACAAGACGATCGTTTCAGCCAGCGGCCCTTCACCTTGTAAGCTGAGCATCTGGAGGCACACACGTCGAGACTTTGATTGTTGTTTCTGCTGGGGGTTATGTTCAGGTGCGGCTGCAGGCTTCGTGGCTGAATCTTGCTTGTCCTCAGGGCCGTCTAAACCATCCCCTTTCATGATCCAATCCTCCAGCACTGACATTCTAGACCCCCACTTCCCATGATGAGGCAACTGCCGCGAAAGCTTCACACCAAGTTGTTGGCAAAATCTGGCGAACGTTTTGGACAGCAAACGGTTGAGGCCTTCAAATACCCCAACAAAGTTGACACTCTCCTCTTGTCTGGTCCACCGGTGCATCGGGAACGGGGTCGGCCTCCTATTGCACAACGCTTCCACTGCATAACGTTCAAATTTCAATCTGCACTCATCCTCGCTCGCACAACAACCTGGACAATAATGTACAACCTCATCCGCATTCGGGTCACCTGTGAAAAGAGATTGGATGACCGCCCTGCGAAGGGAATCCTTACGGCAGCTCTTGATCGTGAACGTGTCAAGGAGTGAGTTGAGGCGGCCCTTGTGGTGCGATGGCGGTTCGGCTCTCACGCACTGAACGCCATTTCGAAGAATGAAGCGCAATTCCTCCCTCATTGCTTTCATCGCAGACGACATGCCAAGGGAGAGCGAAATATGAATTAAGAAGCTCACGATATGAGAAAAACCTTTCATACTTTTTGTGCGGATGTTCTGCGCCATGTGGACCTCGCATTTGGTTCTCATCGATGACATGCTTGTGTCCTGAGAGTGCAGATGCGCCTCAGCCTTTTCAATCGCAGCATCCTGGTCACTGGTCACAATGCGTTGCCTGCGCTCGAAACTCGCAGCAACCTGGTGCATGGGCAATCTAGCTTGATGGACAGCTCGGAGATAGCACTTATGCGATGTGCTCTGAACTGATTGCAACCAATGCGTGAACTTGAACTCCAAGCAAAACTGATCACTGCAACATTCAAACACCACAACAACAGATGTCTCTGAATTCACAACCTTCGCAGTCAATGAGTCGTTTGGGACGGCATGAGGAGAAATAAGGGTTGGAAGTTCTTCGAGCTCAACTGTGCAACGCTGTCCTGGAAGGGCTTGTCCTCTGACATTGAAACGAAGTGGAGTTTCATCGTATCGGGCGAACTCCACATAACTGATCAACCTGCAACCTGGCTTGCCAGACAACGCGGCCACGATATCTCTACACAATTTGACAGCCTGAAAACGCTCAAACATAATGCATGACATTGCGAGATCTGCCTGGATGCTGCGATATTTACGTCGCTCAACCTGGACAAATGCAGAATCGGCTTTAGAACTCAATGTTAAACCACCTGAAACCAAACAATATTTCACAGCTGCAACATTTTCAGGATCTTGGGGTGCCTGCGAAATCGCGTCGCCCGTACACATCTCAACAAATATCTGCATGCCGTCGTACAAGGCCAACTCTGTGAACAACGCTGGACACAACGAGAGGTCACAGAATGATGGCAGTGGGCCGCATGGTTCGAAGCACGTGTGTGGCCGCACCAACACCACACCCTTCGAAAGAGACAGTGCGAGTTAGCGTACATTCTGAAGTGTGCACTCTTCCTCCACCTCTCAAGTTTCTCGTTCCCTTCCTCCCTTCCCTCTCCTTTTCTTCCATCCTCCCTCCCCCTTTTCTTCCCGTTTGTCCACGTCCTCCTCCTGATCCTCCCTCTTCCTCCTCCCTCCTGCCCCCTCCCTTATCTACATGTTCACCCTCCTCATCCTCAGTGCCCTCCTCTTCCTCCTCCTCTTCCGCTAAAAGTATACTAACTCACACTGGCTCAAGGGGACGGCGTCCCGCGGGACCTGTGCAACGATCGGCTCGCCGCCCGACTCCACATCCTCGGGGGCATCCTCCAACGCGAGCAGTTCGGCCCGAGGAGCGGGCAGAAACTTGGAACACACCTCTCGCGCCACTGCTTCCCAGGGCACAGCTCGAGGAGGAGGAGGACTGCTGGGGGGCCGAGGACAAACGGGCTCCCCATCGACGACAGCGGGGGCAGGCGAGTCGTCGAGACCAACTTCGCCGTCCTCCCCCTCTGTGCAGGGCGTCGGTGGATCCGAGTGCAAGAGGGCTCGAAGATGTCCAAAATTGTCATGATCGGGATCATCCGACTCATCGTCAGAAGCCAAACGGGCTCGTATGTGGTCCCAATTTCCATCACCCATCGAGGCCACGATCAAACATCGAAAGCACGAAAAGCAAGAGTGGCTGGATGGAGGCCGGTTGATACATATTGGTTTGAGCCAAAACGTGTACGGAAAATTGAAGCTCGATGCGCATCCCGATGCATGCGCTTCACATATGCATCGCCACTGCAGAGGCAAAGGATGCCCTTTACGAGTTGTAAGTGCAATGCGCAATCATATACGAGCATGTTACAATGCCCTTACTTTGGTTGGAACTGCAAATCCAACACAATGCAATGAAATCAAACCGAACCTGTATAAATATTATTCTATGATACGCGACGGATGCTGGATGGGCTATGTTAGGGGAACTTTAGAACAATGTTTTCAAGAATGTGCGTTTCAACCTTTATGGAACCCTGGGGGAACTTTTGGCGAAATATATGATTTCAGGGCTGTACAGCGTCATCGACATCATAACCCCAGGGCCGTCAGGACAGGACTGAGGATGCATAGCCTGCTCGCAGAAAAGGTCAAGATTCCCGGGGGCCCACATGGCGCCAAGGTTGTTTTCGGCAACGCATCAAAATTCAGATGCTCGAGGTGATCCAACAAGGCGGCAGTGCCTGGGACACGGTACTACGCCCAGTCCGAACACGGACAACTCCTCCCTGTCGCACGAAGCCCTGCCTCGGCGCAGGCCACAGGAGCTGTGGCCCTCGGAGCACGAGCGGGGGGGAGGCGGGGCGGAGGGAGGCGCGGGACGCGCGCGCGCGTCCTCCGCTCGCCTCCTCTTCCAGGGGCCCCTTTCTCGGTCGGTCCCCCCTGGGTTGAGCAGGGGCCGACCGTCCCGGCATTCCTATAGTCCTATCACGAAATGTTCTTAGAACCCAAAAGTGTTCTAGAACCTTATAACACAAAAACAAATATTCTTTGAACATTAACCCGATGAGATAAAACAAGACAGACTCCGCCAGAGATGTTCTAAGAATCTTTCGGGGGAACCACAAAAGGGACTCTGAACATTGTCCGGTAGGGCTGTAGGCACGCCAGGGCGCTTCGCCACTGCTTCACTGGGGGAGAGCCGCGCCGTGCCTGCCGTGCGGCCGCGCGGCCCTGCGGCAGGCCTCGGAGCCCGCGCGGGCCTGGGGCCCGGCCTCCCAGGGGGCGCTCCGCGCGGAGAGCGCCCCCCGCGGCCCTCCGAGGGCGCAGGCCGCTCTCGGCGCCGGTGGACGCCGTGCCTTTTGCCGGCGGCTCGCGGCGGTCGGCCCATGGCAGGCCTGCGCCCGGGGGGGTCGCCGTTCGGGACCGGCACGGCACGGGCCTGCCGCACAGGCGACCCGCATCGCCGGGAGGCAGGGAGAGAGGATGCGCAAAGAGCCCCCTGGGAAGGCCGTCGAGAGAAAGGGCCCCTGGAAAGGGCCCCCTGGTGAAGCCGTCGAGGGGCCCCCAGGGAAGGCCGTCGAGAGGAAGCCCTTCTCGCGCGCGGGGCGCGGCCGGCGGGAGCGGCCGAGGGCGGGCCGGGGAGGCAAGGATGCAGGGGAATCCTGTGGAAGGCTGCCCCTCCGCCCTACGCGGGCTGACTGTGTGTTCACTGCTTGTGCTCCCGCCGCTCGAGGCATCTGGGAAAATAAAAAAACACATCTCCCCCGAGAGGGGCCCCGAGGGGGGACCTCTGAGAGGCCGCCGCTCGCGCCGTGGTGGCCGTGCCGTGCCGTGCCTGCTCGAGGAGCGGCTTGCCCGCGGCCGCCTCGAGGAGCGGCGGGCCGCGCTGCCGCTGCCGGCCTGGGGCCCGTCTGCCCGGCGTCCCCGGCGAGCCGAGCTCGGAGTGCCCACCCGGAGCGTCCTTCAGATCGCACCGTGCAGTCTTCGGCAAGAGCGGCGCACCCGCTGGAGCCCGTCTGCCCGGCGTCCCCGGCGAGCCGAGCTCGGAGGGCCCACCCAGAGCGTCCTTCAGATCGCACCGTGCAGTCTTCGGCAAGAGCGGCGCACCCGCTGCCGCTGCGCCCGTCCCGCAAGCGCCGGCAGCAGAGCCGCGGCCGATGACGTCCAGCTCCGAACTTCCCCCCGCTCTGGCGAACGACGTCGCACCCTGCTCCTGCTGCCTACTGGTTGTTGCAATGGACCTGATACAGGCACCTTGGCGGATGGCATGAAATCGACTCCCTCCTGGTGCACTTCTATGGCCCCCTTCACACAGGCACGTGTTCCAATGCTTTAGACGTGCTCACCTGAGCAGAACAGAGACTCCAACGGTCACTCATCGTGAAAAAGGCCGCGCTCCCAAATTCCCTGACCAATACAGGTGCGTGCTGCCACTGCTGGCCATATTCGCATGCGTCAATCACCTCCTTGTAAGCAACTAAATCAGCCTCAACCGCCACCCCTCCCATCCCGCAGAGTAACGACAGCGCCTGCTGCCACGGCCCGTATCTGCCACATGCCCTGACTCCGCAGGTATAGACAACGAAAGACGCTTCCAGCCTCAGCTCGCCCATCTCAGATATCAAGGACAGCGCCTGTTGCCACCTGCCTCCCTTCTCGCACGCGCTTATGGCATAACCGTAGGGCGTGGCCTCCGGCTCGAGCTCAGCCTCCCGCATGCTGCTCAGTAGAGACAGCGCACGCCGCCACTGCCCGACCTTTCCGCACGCGCCAACCGCAGCGGTGTAGCTGATCTGTTCTAGCGCGTGCTCGGGAAGGAAGGAGACCCTGAACTTCGAGAGTGTACAGAAGAATCCTCCAAACCTATAGACCGATCAAGACTACCGACATCTAGACTAAATGCACTTTCAAATCAAAACGTTGGATACAATTTTAGTGCTCCAGGGAAATCGTCATGAGGAAGGGGGGGGCTTCCTGCACTCCGTGGGTGCACCTCTCTAGTTCAGCCAAAATGCCAAATTACCCAAGGGGTGGAGACTTCCGTGCTCCGTGCATACTGCCGCTCGTTCCTTCGCTGACGATGTCGGTCAGGCCCTTACTCTGTAAGAACACGATGCCACGAAAACGCTATCGCCAACGATCCCATGTTTGTCACGGCCGCGCCTCTGGCGATAGCTCTCGCTCTGTGTTGTCAGCTGGCTTGCGCAATACAGGTGTCGTAAGCTACTCGGTGCAATATGCATGGTGCAAGTTATGTTGTGCAAACTATGTGGTGCAAACTATGTGGCGCAAGATACGTCGGGCAAACTATGTGGTGGAAACTACGTGGTGCAAGTCACTTTTACTGTCTTGAAACTGTCCTCCCCACTGCTCGTGCAAACATCCCACCCAACCACCCGCAACTTAGTCGCAAGACCCCTTAAGACCGTGACGGTAGGTACCACATGTCACTTGGCAACGACACCGACGCCGACGACGACAGCGACAACGACGACGACGACGACGATGCCTCCCAACCGACTACGACGACACCGACGACGTCCCCAACGACTTCGACGACGACGACAACGACGACGACGACACCACTGACGACGACGACAACGACGCCGACGACGTCGGCGATGACAACGCCGACGACGACGAAGACGACGACGCCGACGACGCCGACGACGACGACGACGCAGCCAACGAAGACGACGACGACGACGACGATGGAGGAGGGAGGACGACGACGGCGACAACGACAACGACGAGGGAGGAGGGAGGACGGCGACGACGCGAACGACGAAGGAGGGAAGACGGCGACGCCGACGAAGACAACGACAAGGTAGGAGGGAAAACGATGACGACGACGACGGCGACGAAACAGGGGGGACGACGACGAGACGACGACGACGGACGACGACGTCGAGGGAAGAGAAAGGACGACCACGGCGACAACGACGACGGAAACGACGACGACGCCAATACGACGCTGACGACGACGAGGAACGACGAAGGACGACGACGGCGACGACGACGACGACGAGGGAGGAGGGAGGACGGCGATGACGACGATGACAAATCAAGAGCGCGCGCGTGAGGTTTTTTAGAAAATCAATGTTGCAAAACCGTGTGTTTTTGTATGTTTTTTTGGACACGCGATTTTAAGTTCTTTCCAACACCGACGGTTTTGAAGGATTCCGGCATGCGCGCGCGACGACGCGCGCGTGCGCACTTCGTCTCATGTTTTGCGATGGACTGTTGAACAACTTCTGGCTGCTGATAAACGAGAGTGCGCGCATTGTATTTCTTGCAAGGGATGGCGGGGGGAGTGGTACCGGTTTGGCTGGGATCGTGCGGATTCATTCCTAGGATGAGCGATGGGGCACAATCATATGTAAATTGCAATACGAAAAATAAGATCGTTAATTCCAGGGGGCAGGCACTATTGTTATTTACAGGGGGAGAACTCACTTGTCGAACTTGGAATTGTCAAATCCACTGCGCGCGCACTCATCCCACCCACCCGCCCGCAACTTGGTTTGAGAAACCCATGCGGGAGCGATTGCGATGAGTGCGGGGTGTTGGCTGGTGCATCTCTGCGGCCGCGCTAGCCCGCGCATGCTGGGCGGGCGCGGCATCATGGCAACGTCGACAACGGTAGACACGATGATGGTAGTAGCGGTGCAGGCGACGATGCTGACAGCGACGACGGGGCAGCCAGTGACGGCTCCGATGCTGATCACGCCGACGACGATGACGGCGTGTTCGCGTCAGTGATGAAGGTCCCGGATTGAATTCGACATGCGCGCGCGGCAGACGCGCGACAGTGGCTCGCATGGTATAGTTTGACACGGATCGTGCCACACCAGCACGCGCGCAAGGACGTCAGAACGAGTTCGACATGCGCGCGCGAAGCCAGTTTGAAAGCATGTCAAGAAAATGTTGAACAACGCGCGCTTGTCTTCAGAAGTCCGCAGGGGCGCGCGCTCTCACGCTTCTGTTGAAACTCCGTCTTGCCAAACCATGTCGTTGATGTTTTTTGAATACTCGATTGCGAAACCCTTCCGAAACCGAGTTTTTTTATAGGATTCGACACGCGCGCGCGACGACGCGCGCGTGCGCACTTCGTCCCATGTTTTGCAAAGGATTGTTGGGAACTTATGATGTTGGGAACTTATGATGCTTGACAAGCTAATGCGGTCGCATAATAAATGTTGCCAGGGAACCGAAGGGGGACCGCTACCGGATGAACTCACGGGTAGGATGGACATTGGGTCAACGTCATATGTGTTTTGCAGCGACTTCAGGGGAGTCGATAAGTCCTGAGGGGGAAGGTGGTAAAACCTGTTTTCGTTTAAACAACAAATGGAACAGATGTGGTGTATATCATCTTGTAGAATTTGAAGTCGTCAGAATCACCCACCCCTCCCAGCCACAATTGGCTGTGCACAACCCGTGCGGCCGCGATTGCGCGACATACTTGGCAGTGGACAGCGCACATTTGCGGATGCGCCAGCGCGCGCAAGCCTGCACGCCAAAAGGCCACTGGCTTGACACAAGCGATGTGGCCGCGATGGCGCTTACCGATGGGAATTGCCAAGCGCGCCTCAGAGGCGGCGCTGGCGCGTGGGATCCTCACTGTGGGAGTCTGGCCAGGGCGTGAACGTTACCATGACGACGCAGGCATCGGCAGCAACGATGATGATAGCAGCGATCCGGTGGCGATGGTGATGATGTCAACGGCAAGGCCAACGACGGCGCAGATGATGCTGACGACGGTGGCAGTGATGATGTCCATGTCTCGGTGATGAGACTGGTTGGCTGGTGATGGCGGCAATGGCGGCGATCGACGATTGAGATGACGGCGGAGATGCGGCGGCGCGGATGATGGTGATGGTGATGATCTGCACGCGCGGAAATGCAAGAATAACGGCGCACTTGTCGTTGAACAACTCGTGCTTGCTTTCCGAAGTTGTTGAAGAGCTCTGGATTGAAACGTTTAGTGAGCCGCTTGTTGTGGAAGGCTTTCGGCACGCGCGAGGGGCGGCGCGTACGTATGGCTCACATGGTATGTGTTGACACGAATTCGTGCCTTGGGTTCATGCTAGATCATCGCAGATGCACCGTGTGGTGGAATGCGGCTGCAGGCTATGAACGAAAATGATGAAATCACTGAAATCAACTCCCGATAGATTTCGGAAGGTGCTCGCGGACCCGGAATCCGCTGACCCGTTGGGGTCACGGCGTGTGCGACGATTCCCCCTCCCCAAACCCCTCCCCCAGGGGCCTGGTCCGGCCGGTTTGGAGGGGAGGGGGGGGGGGGGGGGGGGGGGGGCAAATCCATCATACGCACACTTGGAGCCTCATGAGGCCCCAAAACGGGCAAAAAAGGTTCCAAAGATCCCCAGAACGGTCCAAAAGAACTACGAATCGACGAGAGATCGTCCCAAAACGCCGATGATTGGCTCCACACGGCTCCATAAGTCCCCAAGACGTTTGAAACAATATTACGATGCGCCCCAAAGAGGCCCTCCAGAAGAAACAATCGTATCATTTCCTAAGGTAAACATACATTTTCACCACATTCGCCCATTCGGCTTCCACGCGGCGCAAACACCCAAGAAGCCTCCAAGATCGACCCTCGCCAACCCTAGAGGCTCCAAAACAGGCTCCAAGACGGCGTCCGGGCGATCCACGAAGGCTCCAGAAACCAGAGCAACGGCTTAGGAAAACAGCAGGACGATCCCAAGAGGTCTCGAAAACGGGGCAAGAGAGCCCCCAAAGGCTGTCCGGACGGCCCACGCGGGGGACGATGCGGTCTAAACCGCCCAAGATCGCCGCCAGACGGCCCCATGGGTGTCCAAGACGTTTGAAAACGCGACCACGAGGCACTCCAAGAAGGCCTCCCAAAGCAAAAACCGTCCCATTCCCAAGGTAAACCGTACATTGTCAGCACATTCACTTGTTGGGCTTCCACGAGGCCCACAACGGCCAAACAAACCTCCAAGATCGACCCCTTTCACCCGAAGAGGCTCCCAAGAAGGCTCCAAGACGGCTTCCAGGCGATCGACGAATGCCCCAGAAACCATAGCAACGGCTCAGGAAAGCCGCAGGACGGTCCCAAGAGCGCTCCAAAACGGGGCAAGAGGGCTCCCAAAGGCTGTCCGGACGGCCCACGCGGGGGACGATTCGGTCCAAACCGACCAAGATCGCCGCCAGACGGCCCCATGGGTGTCCAAGACGTTTGAAAACGCGACCACGAGGCGCTCCAAGAAGGCCTCTCAAAGCAAAAACCTTCCCATCCCCAAGGTAAAACGTACATGTTCAGCACATTCACTTGTTGGGCTTTCACGAGGCCCACAACGGCCCAATAAACCTCCAACATCGACCTCTGGCCCCCCAAGAGACTCTCCAAAAAGCTGCACGACGGCCTCTGGGCGCCCCACGAAGGCCCCAGAAACCACAGCAACGGCCCAAGGAAATGGCAGGACGGTCCTTAAAAGACTCCAAAGCGTGTCTAGAGTGGCCTCAAGGGGTCGGCGGTGTGGCGTAAGCCAATGAATCATCAACATGTGCCCTGGAAGGCACCAGGGTTCTTGATGCGTCCAGTTTGATGCGTTTGCTAACCCAACTTGCTGTGATATGATGTCGACATGTGCGTGAGTGTGGGCTGCGTGCCATGTGCTTCCCATGCATGATTGGAAACGGTCCGTTTAGACAGACGAGCGTACGCACACGGATGTTTTCGCCACGGATGAAGGGTGCGGAAGAGATGCCCAGTGGGGCTGGGATGATTAAGTTGCATCTGGAAAGTGCACGCCGAGGCAGAATAGTATGAACAGTTGTGCTTTCCCAGGGCCAAGGGGGTATCGATAAGTCCAGGGGGGAGATGGTGGTCGAGTCTATCTTCCCTCTGAAAAGGGGATCCACGTAGTGCAAGCCCTGTTGTGCCAGATATGTGGTGCACGCTAGGTTGTGCAGTCTACTTGGTGCAAAGCTATTTGGTGTGAGCTCTGTGGTGTAGGCCAGGTGGTGGATGTGGCGCCATCCACGGTTCGCAAGCTGCGTGGTGCATGATACGAGGTGCAAGCTACGTGTTGAAAGCTATGTGCTACAAGTTGTGTGGCGCGATCCGCGTGACGCAAGCAAACTGTGGCGCCCACGAGGCGCACCGGGCAGGTACCGGTCGGGGCCCCGACGTGCTCCCCGATTGCGGAGCATCCACGAGGCGCCCACGGGGACCTACTCAACAGGTGGGTCACCAGCCGAACCACCGCCATGACACTTCAGATCCTCACGTAGGCTGAATAGGAGCCCCTAAGCGCAGTCAATCTCTCGAGAACAAATGGCAACCCCCCAGTGCAAGCACTTGTTGACGAAACGCACGATGTCGGTGGTCTGCGTGGGGCGGTCGAAGGGGGGCGGTAGGGAGGAGTCAGTCCAGAAATGTCTCTCTGCGCCCAAGGGTACGCCTGGGTTTCAGGAAAACGTCCTTATCTTCCCTGTCCTCAACATGGCCTTCAGGACTCCGCCTGACAGTGGGCGCAATCCATTGCAATTTCTCCCTGGAGCTTTCTTGAGGGAGAAGTGCTGCTAAAAAAAAGTAGTTCTCCAGTCGCCAGCAGAGCGCGTCCGAATCGTGCATCGTGCGATGCTGTTGCTCTGACTTGGCGATGTCATGCTATTCTGGGCGATGAGGCGGTTTGCCAACGCATGCTGCTTCGGCGCCGCGATGCGCATGATTCATAGAGATGGCATGGCGAGCATGTCGAAAAGGTATATGCGTATGCGTATGCGTTTGCATCGGTCTACTTAGATACGGTGCCATGCTGTACCCGACTACCAACGTAACAGTGAACCAAGCAAACGCCATGCTATGGTCGAGACGGACATGCGGACTGGCATGCAAGAAATTGTGCTACACTATGCAAGCAAGTGGCACCGGGGAAGGGGCATTTTGAGCTGCAGATGTCGAAGCTATGCGTCGAAAGCTATTTGGTGTGCGCGGTGACGTGCAGTGTATGTGGTGTGAGTTGGAGGTGAAGGCTATAGGGTGCACGCTATGTAAACTATGTCGCACACGCGATGAAATCTAATCATTTGAAGCGAAGGCTGCGCAGTGCAAGCTGTGTGGTGTAAGCTACGTGTAAGCTAGGCGGTGCGAAGTAGAGGTTAAGCACAGTGGGAGTAGGCGAACGGATGGAAGCCAGGCTGCATTCTATCCTGTGGAAGCTATGTGGTTTCAACCATGTGCTGTAACGCATCTAAGTGTGATGTAGCGCGCTGCGCCTACGAGGCGGAACAGGCCTGCACCGTGGCGAACACATGGGCCCCCCCCGAAGGGCGGGGCGCCCGCGAGGCGGCGCTGGCTCGCAGCGTGGCGAAGCTGCGGGACCTCCCCCAGGCGCTGAGCGCCCACGTGGCGCCCGGGAGGCGCCACGCGGCGAAGACCAGAGGCACCCCCCCAGTTCATGACGCAAGGCAACACATAAAGGAGCCCCCCAAGAGGCCCTCGGGGGCCCCCAAGACGCCGCCAAGGAGGCCCAAGAGACTCCCAAGAGGTCCCCAAGAGGCCCCCAAGAGGCCCTAAGGAGGGCTCCAGGGCCGGCGGGATGAGCGAAGCGATTAATCAGCCTTACGTGCAAGCGCGGTTAGGGGCACTGCCCGCACCATTTCCCAAGCAAAATTAATCTCCCAGCCCACCCTGGTCAGTCTTCCCGTCCGACCCCTTCTGCTAGCCCCGGCAGGTGCAATCTGCCTTGCACAAGCGAACCTACTGTAAGGATGACTGAATTTGGGTTCACCCGCGCACTCGCCATCTCTGCAAACAGCAGCAGCGCCCTCTCCCACTCCTTGCTCTCCTCGCAGCAGACGATGCTGGAAGTGTAGCTGAAGACGTCTGCCTCCAACTTTACGCCCCCGAGCTTCCGGAGCAGCGAGAGGGCCTGCTGCCACTGCCCGATCTCGCAGGCACTGATTCCAGCATTGTAGGCGTTGACGTCTGGGTCAACAATCGCCTCCTCAAGTGGCGACATCCAGACCCTACCGCCACCAACCATCGATTCTCCTGAATCGTTGGGAGGCGGGGGTAGGGTTCGAATTCCGCCACGTGCCCGACGAATTCCAAACCCTACCCCCGCCGCCAATCGAGTTGCATGAATCATTGATCGGCGAGGGTAGGGTTCGGATTTCGCCACCGGCTCCTCCATCCGAGCGAGCAGAAGTAACGCCCACTCCCACTGCATGGCCCCCTGACACGCGCTGATGACTGAGCAGTAGCTGGCGCCGTCCGCATGCAGTTTCCCTTCTGCTCGGGGGGCGTCGACGGACCACCTCAGCGATCCTAGCGTGAGGTCGGGCATGTCATCCTAGAGGCGGATGTTAAAACAGAAATACTAAACATAGGCAAGCAAATCTCAAACATGGTCAAACATAGTCGAAACATAGTCCCCAGACTGTTTTCCCATATGCTTGAAACCTCCCCCTGTAGATGGACATACCGGTCTTCATCCTGGCTGGGCCGGTCCACGGGCCCCTGATCCGTGCAGCATGCCCTCCGGGCCCAGCCGAGAGGGCGCGTGCAGCGATCCTGAGCTCGGGCGGGGCGCGGCCGGGATCGGCGAGGTGGCCAACCGAAGTCCCCCGATCTACCATCTCGCTGAATAGCGACACTGCCAGCTGCCACAACCGCGCCTTGTCGCACGCGCGGATCCCAGCGCTGTAGCTGACTCCAGACCTCCGTGGCGATTGCTTCGGCACGCGGGCCCCAGAGTTCTCTGCGCGCTTCTCCGAAGTTCTTTCGTTGTTCCAAGCATCCTGTGATGTTGCGTGCTCGCTTTGAATCGGCAGCGCCCCGCGTCGCGACACTCCCGCTGCCCCCGCCTCCTCATCCTTCTCCCCCTGGTCCTCAGAACACCCCTCACACGTTTCCAAGCTGCAGGGTGCAAGTGGCGTCGCCTGGGCCATTCCGGGTGGCTCCCTGGAGAACCCCACCGAAAGCCCAAACGGCAGGGTGCACATGGGGCCACCTAGCCAGCTCCAGTACACCGCTCACATCTTTCGAGTCTGCACAGAATGCCCACTGGAAGACCTAAGTGGCGGGGTGTCCATGGCATTGCCTGGCCCATGTAGGCACACCGCTCACACGATTCCGTGCCCCCTGAAGGACATCTTACGACCGCCCAAATCATAGGGTGCAAATGGTACCGCCTGAAAGAGTCCGGCACACCGCTCGCACGCGTCGCTGCCCCATAGAGAGCTCCACCAAAGGCCCAACTTGTAGGGTGCACGTGGGGCCGCCTGGACAATTTCGGCACAACCCTCTCCCACAGTTCGTGGTCCGATGGGGAGCTCCACCAAAGGTCACGGAGGCAGCGGTCGCATGGGCGTCGTCTAGCCCACATCGGCGCACCGATCACCCGCGTCGTGTCCCCATGGGGAGCTGCAGCGAACGGCCGAGTGACAGGGTGCGCACGGCGCCATCCTGGCCAAGCTCCACCCAGGGCCAAAATGGCAGAGTGCACATGGGGCCGCCTATGAGCATCGTTGATCCGACCCCCATCCCCAGCGACCAGACCTGGGCCCCATGGATATAGGCCGGTCCCTTCGGGTTTCGAGGGGTGTACCCCGAACTGGGGTGGTAATTTGGTGGGAGTCTCGAAGGGGATGAGGATGGGGGATGGGGGTCGGTTAAACGATACTGAGCCTAGCCAATCTCGGCACACTCCTCTCCCACATTTCGTGGTCCGATGGAGAGCTCCACCAAAAGGTCACAGTGGCAGCGGTCGCATGGCGCCGTCTAGCCCCGTGTCGGCACACCGCTCACACGCCTCGTGGCACCGTCGGGAGCCCCATGGAGTGCCCCAGTGGTAACGGTCGTATGGTGCCGCCCCGCCAATGTCGGCACACTCATCACACGTGGTATGGCCCCATAAGGGGGGCTACACCGAAGGCATCAGTGTCAAAGTTCCTGGAGTGGAAGAAACATATGTTTGCGCTACTCGCAATTGCATACATATGTCTGGGCCTTTAACTAAGGAAACGCGAACGTCACTGGCGCCGAAACTACCCCCAGATTCCGTAAGGAGGAAACACACTGGATCCAACATCACGACGTCGGAGGTCTGAGCTTACATCCGGGTCCAACTCCGCCTCCCTCATGTGCCTCAGCAGCGCCAGTGCCTGCTGCCACTGCCCGGCCTTCTCGCAGGCACTGATACCGGCGTTGAAGCTGAAGTCGTTTGGATCGACCTCTGCATCCGCCATTTGAGTTAGCAATGACAGCGCCAATTCCCAACTCTCGCCTTTCTCGCAAGCGCTCATCCCGGCACTATAACTCCTCACATTTTGCTCCACACTCACCTCCATCATTTCAAACAGCAGTGACAGAGCTTGCTGCCACTGTCGGGATTTCTCGCACGCGCTGATCCCAGCATTGTAACTGATGGTGCTCCGCTCCAATTTCACCTTTCCCATGTCGCGGAGTAGCGATAATGCCCGCTCCCACTGTCCACATTTCTCACACGCGCTGATTCCAGCACTGCAACTCCGGACGCAAGGCTCCAATCTTTTCTTCCCCAGTTCGCAGAGCAACCACAGCGCTCGTTTCCATTGCTCGCCCTTCTCGCATGCGCTGATCGCGGCGTTATAGCTGATGACGTTTGGCTCCACCTTCACCTCGCACATGTCATCGAGTAGAGACAGCGCCTGCTCCCACCGCCCAGCTTTCTCGCATGCGCTGATCCCAGAACTATATACGAATACGTTCGACTCCAATCTCACATCGCGCAACTCACGAAGAAGCGACAAAGCATGCTCCCACTTGTGGCCTTTCTCGCATGCGCTGATGCCAGCACCCCAAATGAAGACATCGTATGCCGTCTTCGACTCCATAATTTCTCGGATCAGCATCAGTGCCAGCTGCCATTGCTTGCTTTTCCCGCAAGCGTCGATCAAAGCACTGTAGTGAATGCAATTAATCTGCGTCCCCGCTTGCGACGCGTGTCGGAACACATCTAACGCAACGGCCCATTGCTGTGCTTTCCCGTGCTTCCTGATCGCGGAGGTAAGATCGCCGTCCCAGGTCGGCACGTTCGGTGCAAGCAGCTGGGGAGCAGCCGCTGGCATGACAGCACAGCTTGAAAGCAAGCACACACACAGACCTCGAGCACAGAAGAGCACAGATGGATAGGACGTGGCGACTACTTCCATTGAGGGCAGAAAATCCACCCCCATACTGATCACCCCGACACGGGAAGCAGTTTAGTAAGCACATCCACAGAAGGAATCGAACAGGGCAGGGCTGTTTAGTAAACGCCCAAGGAATTTTAGCAAACGCCAATTATCGAGTCCGGATATTGTTTCCATCCTTGTTTCTTGAAAACAATGGCGCGGGCGAGGTAAGCTCGCAAGTTAGCGCGCCCGACATTGGCACGATGCCCAACGAATCCGGTCGAAAACCGACAACACCCGCTGCCCAGATCACCCTGCAACGCCGATGCATCAACGATGCGGCGCGATCTGCCCGACTCCGAGATCCCTGGATCCAAACATGCTCAAGTAGACGAGCGCATTCCACTACTCGCAAAGTCACAACTCGCAAACGGCCTGGATCCCCCGTGGGGGATGTGCGATAAACTACATCGAAGCAGACATGTGTGTTTCTGACGTTTGCGAGTGGGCACTTTGCGAGTAGTGGCATTGAACAGGGACCGACCGTCCCGGCATTCCTATAGTCCTACCACGAAATGTTCTGATAACCCGGAAATGTTCTAAGAACAAGGGCGATGTTCTCAGAATATGAGCCCGATGTGCTAAAACAAAACAATATCCGCCAGACATGTTCTACGAACATCCCGTGGAAACCACAAAAAAAAGGTTATCATGACATTGTTCGGCAGGGCTATATAGGCACGCCAGCACGCTTCGCCACTGCTTGCTGGAACGCGCTCGGTGACACGTGCTCGAAGTCTCGCATTCCTCTTCCCGCCGCCGTTCGCCCGCCTTCAGCTGCGCGCTCCGCGGGCGGCCAGGCATGCCCCCCTACAGGCATATTCTGGACGAACAATGGAAACATACCTTCCAAAATACACCCAAAATGCTCAAGAATGGTCTCTCGGGGCCCTGCATCGGCGACCAGCGCGTGCAGCGGGGGATATGTCCACCCCCATCCCAGGCCCCGAGGGGTTCTCGACTGGACCAGGCATTTGGGGGCCCAGCCCTGGAACATTCGATGGGTGGGCGCCCGTCCTCGAGAAGGGTGCGTCCGAGTTGCCTCCCCGGGGTGTCTCCCAGGCTTTTCCCTCCTGTTCTGAGCGGCTTCACTGTTCGTCGAAGAGTCGGGGGCTGGGGGAGAACAATCGCCTGCGAGATCAATGCGTAGTTAGGGGGTCGATGCGTTGCCCCCTGAGCCTCGACATCCCCATCCAGCGTTGCCCCTGGTGGCTTTCGGGTCATGCCTCGGCTCCCCTGCCGCGGCTCGGGACGATCTGGGTATGCAGCTGCTGGGACGCTTCCCAAGGTTGGACCACCACCGAGAACCGACGAGGAAGTCGGCAAAGCTCGAACTTCGAACCTCAAGCGTTCAACCAAGACCGAAATATCGGACCTGTGCTTAGCCTATGCTTCCATCATCGCTAGGGTTGCCAAGCGGAGAAGGGGGGCATAGGTGGATGCGATGCGAATGTGGGTACAATTTGGCCCATCCTAGCGCGTAAGTGGGTTACGAGTGCCCTGAGTGGCTGAAAGAGTTTAGGTACCTGCCAAGTGGGCTCCGCCCGCTTAGCGCAGATCTTCAACCCCCCCAGGAGGCCGCGTAGGGCACATGCCACCCACTTGTAAGCTAGGTTCGGCTAGGTATACCCTACCCTGGCATCCACATAAAGACTCCCAATCCTTATAGCAGCCCACGCGGTGATCCACGTGGGGATCCTCGCCGGGCACTGAGACTATCATCTAACCGACTCGGGATGCAAGGCCAAGTCCCCGGAATGGGTTGAGACCTCCAGGGGTCGATGCTGTCGGAGCCTTGACGCGTGGCTTGGGCACCGAGCTTGGCCGCATGGACCCTTGTAACATCTGAGATCTTACGCTGCGAAGATCAGCGGCCAGATCTGAGGGAAGCTAGGTTAGGCCAGAGATGACTGACCCACCTTGGCATCCATGTAGAACAGCCAAATTTCCTGAGAGGCAGTTTTTCAATAGACTCTGGCAAGTTTACATACATGATGGATGGGGAGGGGGGGCGTGGCGAGGACCGAGAGTCAAGATTGACTTCCACGCCTTCTCGGCCCAGAGCTGCTTGAAAAAGCGGCTGAAAGGGGAGGGAAATGAAATGTAAGTGACGGTCCCAACCGATTCTGGGGTCGGTCGCAATCGGTCGCGACTGATTCGCAGTGCCGACCAGTTGCTGACGATCGCAACCGAGCAAACATCTGTATCCGATGATCTGGCAATGGATAAAAAAGAGCCCAGCCCCCCTGGCGCCGCGAGAGAGCACGGAGGGAGACGCTTCCTGCTGCGCCTCTCGGGCTCCGGGGGTCCCCGCCAGGCCCTGGGACCGCTGGAGCACGAGTCGGGGTGAACAACCTGGGCTTTTTGTTGGCATAACCTTTTGCTGTGTAGTTCTTTCCTTGCCATTCTTGCAGGCACCGTGCTAGGAGGAGGAGGAGGAGGAGGAGGAGGAGGAGGAGGAGGACGGAGGAGGAGGAGGAGGAGGAGGAGAGGAGAGAGAGGAGGAGGAGGAGGAGGAGGAGGAGGAGGGAGGGGAGGAGGGAGGAGAGAGGAGGGACAGGAGGAGGAAGAGGAGGAGGAGGAGGAGGAGGAGAGGAGGAAGGAGGAGGAGGGAGGAGGAGAGGAGGAGGACGGTGGCCGTCGCAAAGGCAGCGTGCGGTGTGGCGCCGCCGGCCCGCTTATACTACGCGCTACTTCTCGGAGCCCTGCCCCTGTCTGTAGGGGCGGCCCCTGCCTGGGGGGCCCGAGGTGTGCTCGCGGATGGGGCCTCCTCCTCCTCCTCCTCCTCCTCCTGCTCCTCCTGCTCCTCCTCCTCCTGCTCCTGCTCCTCCTCCTCCTCCTCCCTCCTCCTCCTCCTCCTCCTCCTCCTCCTCCTCCTCCTCCTCCTCCTCCTCCTCCTCCTCCTCCTCCTCCTCCTCCTCCTCCTCCTCCTCCTCCTCCTCCTCCTCCTCCTCCTCTTCCTCCCCCCGCCGCCTCGGCGTCCTGCCTCCCGCCCTCCCGGCGGGGCGGGGCGGCGTGCCGTGGGCCACCGGGCCCTTCCCCAGCTCCTCCTCCCTCCACGCCCTCTCGGAGCAGGGCGCTTTGAGACACTGGTCGGCGGCGACGACAGGGGCGAATAGCCCAGGGCGGGCATTATATACAAGTATTCGCCCGGGAGCCTTGTCGAAGACATAGATCATCGGCGCACCTGAATACATGGATTGCTCTCCCCTGGGCTATTCGCCCCTATCGTCGCCTCTGAACTGGGAGCTTAGCATCAATTCCGGGACTCCTCCCAGCGCCCCCAAAAAACGAACCAGTTGTCCGCGCTGCGTCCCGCCGCGGCGACGAGGCGGCCCCCCGAAGGCCAACTACCAGTGTCGCAAATGGCCCTCCTCTGACCCTCCTCCTCTCCTCTCGGTGATGGACGTGTTTTCCACCACCACCACCACCATAAGTTGGAGGGGGGAAGGAGGAGGAGGAGGAGGAGGAGGAGGAGGAGGAGGAGGAGGAGGACGAAGAGGAGGCGGAGGAGGAGGAGGAGGAGGGGGAGGAGTTCTGGAGTTCTGGATATAACGACTAGGTCGAGAACACACCTATTCAAGAGACCTTAACCTTCCTGGCTTGCTCAGCTTTGCTGTAGGCCTTTGGCCAAAGGTTCCGAGAGATCCGATCTTGGTGCTCTGCACGATTGCCGTCGTTTCTGTCTGGGCACTCCTGGGCTAAGTTAACGAGCTGCTGAGCTGCGTAATACCCATATGCAGAGGAGGAGGAGGAGGAGGAGGAGGAGGAGGAGGAGGAGGAGGACCCCCTCCCCCTCCAACTTCTGGTGGTGGTGGTGGAAAACAGGCCCATCACCCCGAAGGCCCACTACCAGTGTCTCAAGTGGCCCTCCTCCTCCCTCCTCCTCCACCTCCTGCCCTCCTCCTCCTCCTCCTCCTCCTCCTCTTTCCATCCTCCTCCTCCCCCTCCCCCCTCCCCCTCCCCCCTCCTCCTCCTCCTCCTCTCCTCCTCCCCTCCTCTCTCCTCCTCCTCCTCCTCCTCCTCCCCCTCCTCCTCCTCCACCTCCTCCTCCTCCTCCTCCTCCTCCTCCTCCTCCTCCTCCCCTCCTCCTCCTCCTCCTCCTCCTCCTCCTCCTCCTCCTCCTCCACCTCCTCCTCCTCCTCCTCCTCCTCCTCCGCCTCCTCCTCCTCCTCCTCCTCCTCCTCCTCCTCCCTCCTCCTCCTCCTCCTCCTCCTCCTCCTCCTCCTCCTCCTCCTCCTCCTCTCGGCATCATGACCAGGGTCGCTCAAGCGGCCGAGGGGCGGCCGAGCCCGGCGCCAGCCCGGCGGCCGGCACCCAGCGCGGCCACCTGCGGCAGAGCAGCCGCGCGCACAGCTGCCGGCAGCGCAGCGGCAGGGCGGCGAAGGCGGCGACGCCCGCGCGCTCCTGCGGCGGCGGCGAGGGCCCGGGCATCCTTCCTCTGCTCCTCTCTTCCTCCTCCTCCTCCTCCTCCTCCTCTCCTCCTCCTCCTCCTTTCCTCCTCCTCCTCCCCCCTCCTCCCTCCTCTTCTTCCTCCGCTCTCCTCCTCCTCCTCCTCCTCCTCCTCCTCCTCCTCCTCCTCCTCCTCCTCCTCCTCCTCCTCCTCCCTCCTCCTACACCTTCCCATCCTTCCCCTCCTTCCCCCTCTCCTCCTCCTCATCCTTCCCCTCGTCCTTCCAGTCCTCTTTCCCCACCTCCTCCTCCTCCCCTTCTTCCCATCCTCGTTCTAATCGTCCTTCCCGTTTTCCGCGTCCTCCTCCTCTTCCTTCTCGTTCCCCTCCGCTCTCATCCTCCGCCCTCCTCCTTTCCCAACTCCGCCTCAACCTCCTCTCCTCCTTCCCCTCGTCCTCGTTCTCCACTCCTGTATCTCATGGATCACCCCTTTTCCTGCCGCACGCCAAAGCCAGTCGGAAGGGGAGGCCAGGCGTTTCGCCTGAGACTAGTCCTACCACTCACGGACCTGAATCTTCGAAACAAGCAACAGCTTCGCAGATGGAGATCGGGCCGCCTCCAGCATGTGGATCCCGCCCTAACGCCGCGCGCACTCTCCTTCCACATGTGCAAGAGTTTCGCGGATTGGCGGGGCGGGTGGCTTTCAAACTGTGGCTCTCGCTTGGTCGCCGCGCACATTCGTTTTATATGAAAAACAAAACGACACTAGTAAAGCCTTCACGGAATGAGGACAGTTCGGCCACGAACTGTGGCTCTCGCCGTAGCACCACGCACATTCGCTTTAGCAGCTCGAAGAATTGCGCAGCGTTAGGTGAGGGCGGGTGGCTTCCAAACTGTAGCTGCGTCGCGCACACCCATATTAAAACATTCAAGCGCTCCACGGATTCAGGACGGGTGGGTTTCGACTTGTGACTGGCTATCGAATTAGCGCCGCGCACATTCGCTTCAAAACAAGTTGCAAAAGCTTCGCATATATTGGGGGCGGTTCCTTTTCAAATGTGGCTCTCGCCTGAGAGCCGCACACACTTGTTTCAAGCAAATTCCAGTGCTTCGCTGGTATGCATGGCTAACGTGCCAGCAACTGTGTTCCGGAACGGTTCAGGATTGTCAGGGATAAGCAATTACGTTGATTCGCGGTGTTGTCATCCAAGGAACGGTTTTTTGGCACGAGTCAGGACCGTCGGAACAGTCAGGTTTACTTGTGGCGTTGAAGTCCTGTGAAATGGCTGGGACGCTTCAGGATTTCCACACTGTTTCCCCCCCTTGGAGCCTATTGAGAAAGAGCTTGGAGCGAGGGTTTAGTGTAACAGCGCTGATGCGTCTAAGGTTTTGCAGTGGTCCTTCCCCTACCCCACCTCCTCCTCCAGAGAGCGGAACGGCGCGAGGTGGGTGGACGAGGGAAGAAGATGACTATGTGGAGGAGGAGCAAGTCAACTTCCTCTACCCTCCCCTCGTTGCTCACCTTCTCCTGGTCCTCCTCCTCTTCCGTCTCCTCCTCCCTCCTCCTCCTCCCTCCTCCTCCTTCCCCCCTCCTCCTCCTCGCCATCGAGAGCCGAGGCTCAGGGAGTGGAGTTTCCCCCGTGACATGAGGGAAGGCTGAGGCTTCTGCGGGCGGCTCTCGCACCTGCGATCGCGCGAGCGCAGACATCCGCACCTCTGAAGGTGCCCGGCTCTTGTGGGGATGGCGGGGGCCAGTCCCATGCGCGCAGGCCGCTGGCTGGGGGGACAAACAAGCCGACACGACACCGACGCCAAGGCAGTGATCTGTTTCATAAAAATGTGACTTGCGTTTTGGGCCAGCGTGAGCCCGTCCTGGCCCTCGGAATCTTGGGGGGTTGGGGGAGGGGGGGGAAGGGAAACATCGCGCAGCGCGCAGGAGGGAGGGCAGGACACAGACAGTGCGGACGAAAGGCGATGTTGGCGGGCGTTCTGGGGAGAGGGCGGACCAGCGGGAAAGATGCGGTACCCTCCAAGACCCCAAAGCATCCCACTCCGCCGCCGCCGTCCTCCGCGCCTCCCCCCACCCGTTTTGGCCCCCCTCCCCTGTCTCCCCCCTCCCCTCCCACCCGCCCCCATGCCCGCCCCTACTCGCATCCCGGACATTTCTGCAGGCCCGAGGCCGGCTTCCGACGACTCCGAGATTCCACCGCCTACCCCCCCGCGCCGGCGCCGGGGGGGGGGGGGGAGGGGGGCGTGGCTGCCCTTCGCGGCTCCGCTCCACCCGCCGTTCCAGCGGGGGTCTTGGTGCTGGTGTCGGCTGTCCAGTGTTGCCGTGTTGCCGGGAACGAAAAGCCGGTACCGACACCCAACACCAAGACCCCACTGGGAAAGTTGGGGATCCTTTCCCTGCGGGGGCAGAGCGGCCCAGCGGAGCCCGCAAAACGTGAGGTGGCTCGCATTGCTCCCCGAATTCGAAGGCCATAGGGGTTCGCGTCGTGAAAAACGCCCCATGATGCCCAGAGCGACCCCAGGGCCCATGGGCCTGGCATGGTCCGCGGGGATCGCAGGGCCTACAAACCCGACGCGGCCCTGACGACTCAAGGGGCCTATGGGGAACGCGGGGCTCGCCAGGCTTATGTCGGGCGTGTCCCCCTGTAGGGGGATTTTCGACGAAAAATAAAAAATCGAACAATACTACAAACATGTCAAACAAATGTTCAAAACATAGTCCCCAGACTATTGTTTGACTTTTTTGGGGCTATGTTTGGGGTTATGTTTTATCCTTCGTCGAAAATCCCCCTGCACGGGGACAGGCCCGACGTAACGCCAGGCTCGCGCGGCGCATTGAGCCCATGCGCGCTGCGGCGCCCGTGTGGCCAAGGACACCTTTCTGGGACCTGTGGGGCTCATGGGGCTGGCGAGGCCCGCGCGGCCCACGGGCCGCGCGCGGCCCATGGCAATCCTAGAAAGTCCACTGGAGGAACTAGAGCTAAGTCGGGCATGTCCCCCTACAGGGGGATTTTCGACGAAAAATAAAAAATACACCAAAATTCATCAAAAAGTAGTCCAAAAATAGTCTGGGTACTATGTTTTGGGTATTTTCTGATTTTTTTTGAATATTTGTGGGGTATTCTTATTTCTTCGTCGAAAATCCCCCTGTAGGGGGACACACCCGACATAAAACCAGGGAAGGCCCGCTTTGCTCCCACGCGCGCAGGGCTGGCATCCATCGACGCGGGACACGCGAGCCCGAAGACACGGGCGACGGCATCCAGCAGAGGCTCTGACATTCTCTTTTCCGGAGGGGACCTCGCTGTCGGTGTCGGGTTCTGCAGAGTGCCCCGAGCTGCTGTCGCATCGCGCTTGGCGATCGGAAGGGCCGCGCACCAACGGTCACCCTTGCCTGGGGTCACTCTTGCGTGAAGCTCCCCGGAGGCCCCGCGCGGTGCCGGCGCAGGGGCCTCCGGCAAACACCGGGGGTGTCGGACCCCCTCGCGTCGTGTGGCGGACAAGGAGAGCGACGGACTGTGCTTGCTCGAGTCGGCATGTGGGGCCCGCTAGCGGGCCCGGGGGCAATCAAAAAGTTAGTGGCCTCCTAGATGGGGTCCGAATGGACGGGGTCGGGGGATCACGCCGCATCAGCGATGCAACGGCGATGCATCGCCAACGCATCGGAGATGAATCGGCGACGTCGGCGAGGCATCGGCGCCATCGGCGTGGAGAGGATCGGCTTGCACGTCGAGCCGCATCGGCGACGCATCGGCGATGCATCGGCGATGCATCGGCGGCGATGCGGCACGATCCTCTGACCCCATCTGCTCCGACCCCATCTGGGAGGCCCAGACAAAAATGGACCCAGGGCGAAGCAGTGGCCCCCGGGGAAGGGCTCGGGACCTCTGGGCTCTCGCGCTGCGACCACGCTGCGACGGGAGGCCCTGTTTTCGGCGCTCGCGCCGCGCCCTTCGGGGCCGCGAAGAAAGGACTCGGGACGAAACGCCCGTCCTGGGGAGTGGGCCGAGACATTCGAAAATGGCCTCGCCCTCCTCCTCCTCCTCCTCCTCCTCCTCCTCCTCCTCCTCCTCCTCCTCATCTCAATCGCCCCGGGCCCGCCCTTGTGAAAACTGCGAAACAAAAACGCAGGAGAGCACGCCGTCGCGACTCTGCAGGCGACATCCAGATCCCAGGCTCGGGGCAAGAGCGCCCCGATCGAGAGAGCCGCGCCCCGCCGCGACGGGGCCCTCGCGGCTCCCGGGCGGGCTTCGTCCGGCACGACCGCCCGGGGCATCGGCCCTGTGCGGATCACAGCGGGCGGCGCATCTGCACGCCTTTTGTGCTCCCGGGAGCTCCACGGGCCGGCCGGAGGCCCGCCGAGGTCCGCCAGGGGGGCCCCAGCGACGATGCAGGGGACCCGCTGGGACCTGCGGAGGTGGATGATTCTTCTGCAGTTGCTTCTCCCTCGAGTGAAGGGGGAGGGGGCGGAGGGACGGGAGGGCGGAATGAGCTGGCCGAGGGGAGGTTGAAGGGTGGGAGGGGGCGGGCGGGGGGAGGGAAGCAACGTCCGGGGAGCTGATGGGAGGCGGAGGGATGGGGACGGGGAAGGAGAGGGGAAAGGTCCACACGAAGACACCGCACGCAGCGACATCACAGCGCTCTGTTCTCAGCACCCGTGAGACCAGTGGCCCACCCCTGGCGGGTGCCCACCACCACTGCTACAGACCCTCCTCGTCGCTCAGCAAGTGCTGGTAGCGGGGCATCATGCCGTCGATGATCCGCTGCAGATCTCGCAGAGTGTACCCCTGCCACTCGTCGACCGACACGACCTGCCCATGCGGCCGGGCAAGTGCGCTGAGCAACCTCCGGCTGGTGCCGCGCTTTCCTGGCGGTGCTGGTGCCGCTGCTGCCCCTCCTGAAAAAAAAAACTTGGACCGACTCGGATCGTCGCGTCAGAGGGGTAAAGAGGCGGCAGGGTACTACAAGTGCTGACTCAGGCGCTGTGGCCGAGCTGTGGCCGACAACTTAGGTCCAGGTGAGCGCAGCTGAACTGCTCAAGGCGATGGAGCCAGAGGCCAAGAAAACAAGGCCCTCGAAGTATGTACTCGCCTGGTCGTGGAGACTGTGCTAGAGGTGTGCCCGGGCCGCTGCTCCTGCTCCTCCTCCTCCTCCTCCTCCTCCTCCTCCTCCTCTTCCTCCTCCTCCTCCTCCTCCTCCTCCTCCTCCTCGTCCTCCTCTTCCTCCTCCTCCTCCTCCTCCCCCTCCCCCTGCATCCCAATGTATGCTTCTTTCGAACGCGTGACAACCTCCTGGGGACGGGAGCCCCTGCCAAGCGGACCGGGTGAAACGTGCTGCTGCACATGTTGCTTAGCGCATGTTTCTGAGAAGAAGGAGGAAGTCCGAGGGAACATCGAGAAACACTCTTGATCGACAACACTCGGCATCGCGCAACACCTCCTGCGGCTGCGCAGCGCCCTCCACCAGAGAGGGGGGAAAGAAGAGCAAGCAGGAGGAGGAGAACGAGGAGGAGGAGACAGAGCGACCAGGGGGGGAACTCTCTAGATGACCGAGGTGCAAGCTCCCGACGGCTTGTCGGCGACTCAGCAAGCTCCAAAGCCAGCCGCGGAGCAGACCCCGACATCAGCCGATCTAACTTTTTCCCCGGGTCCAGAACTCCCGACCCCTCCCTGGAGGGCATCTTTTTCTCCTGGATCCGTGCTTGACGGTCCCGATGCCCGACAAAGGGCCCGAGAGGCCGCGAAGAGAAACGACCCGATCTCCAAAATCATGCCGTCAGAAGACGAGGGAGCCGACGTGGCTCTGCCGCCAGGCACGCCCCACCAGGGCCGCGCTCTCTTGCCGGGGTCCCTCCCCCCTCCTCCTCCTCCTCCTCCTCCTCCTCCTCCTCCTCCTCCTCCTCCTCCTCCTCCTCCTCCTCCTCCTGCTCATCCTTCTCATCCTCCTTCTCATCTTCCTCCTCCTCCTCCTCCTCCTCCCCCTCCTCCACCTCCTCCTCCTCCTCCTTCTCCTCCTCTGCTGGAGTGGGGAGGTCGCGGGGGGTGTGAGGTCAAGGGACGAGGATGTCAAGGTGGAGGAGGGCCAGGTCCTCATCCTCTTCCTCCTCTTCGTCCTCCTCCTCCCCGAGCAGGATGCGAAGGTGGACGAGCAAGTCCTCCTCATCCTCCGCCTCCTCCTCCTCCGGAGAGTGAGGAGGTCGCTGGGGAGAGATGAGAAGGAAGAGGATTGCAAGGTGGAGGAGGAACAGGTCCACCTCCTCCTCCTCCTCCTCCTCCTCCTCGTCTTCTTTCTCCGTGTGAACAACCAGAGTGGCGCCCACTACCATGCCATCGGCACGCTGGGGTGTGTCAGACACCTGCATGGTTACATGATGGGTGTCCTGGCTTACGCCGACACCCCCTTACTCGCCACCGTCGTTCGAAAATCCCCACTTTCGATTTGCTTCCGGGTGCCCTCTTCGGCAGCAAGAACCGCAGTGGCTGCAAAACGCCCCGATGCTACCCAAGGACGGCCCAACACGCCCCCGCATGCCCCACCGGCACCCCGAGATGTCACAACCGACTTTAGCAAACATCCAGGCGGCGCGCACAGATGCCTTCAACGACACCCTCAGATGATCAACGCTGTGCTTGCCTCCGGCGCATTTGGCCTTGAGATCGCTCGGGAAAGGTTTCAGAGAGCCTCAGAACACATTCCAAGACAGCCCCACGACTGCCCGAGATTGCCCCAAGACCCGCACAGGTTTCCCCAAGATGGTTCAACCTATCATTTTCGAGAGAGCTCTGTGGAACCATCGCGCCCAAAACGTTCCCAAGAACCCCGACGGGCCCTTCAGAGGCCCCCACCAAGCCCCCAACAGACACCCAAGGGGGGGCCGAAGAGACGCGCAAAAAGGCTCGAAAAAACCTCGAAGAGGGAGGACGGAGGGGGGGAGGATGAGACGGAGAAGGAGAACGTGGAAAGAGGACGAAATCCCACCTGCCCTCTGGGAGTAGGTGGTGCAACAAATGCTGTCTTCTCTCTGCCCAGGATCCTTCTTTCAACCGCTCGGGGGAGGGGCTTACCCCTCCCCCCCACCCCTCCCCTGGGCCTGGGGGAGGGGGGCGCGAAGCGTTAGACTCCCCAAGATCGCCCAAGTTGGCCTCCAGCATGGCTCAAGACAGTCCAAGATGGCTCAAGGTAGCCTCCGACACACATCCAAGAGGCCTCAAGACGGCCCCAAGACGGCGCCAAGACGATCTCAAGTGCCCTCCGAGCCCGCCAAGGACCCCCCCAAAGGCAAAACCGGAGCCAAAACCTGAGGACAGTTGGTGGCGTGTGCCTTCTCGCCTTTTCACTTCCGATGGGCCTGGAAGGCCCCAAGATGGCCCAAGAGAGCTCCAGGAGGGACCCAAGAGCTTGGTCCTTCTTAGTTATGCCCAGGGCGTTTTGGTTAACCGTTTCCTTTGATTGGAGTGTACATCTTGTTGGCGCTTTCAAGTCCGAACGAGAAAACTGAAAACACTAAACAAACGATGTATTTCCCAAGCATCATGTGGTGTTCGGCCCTCGTTTTGAAGAGGCTGCGCCCCGCGTTTCTCCGTCCTCCTTCCTTCCTCCTTCATCCGTCCATCTTCGTTTTGAAGAGAGACAGCGACCCGCGTTCCTCCTCCCTGCTCCCGCTCCTCCAATCCCTTGCACCCCTCACACGTTTCGTGGCCCCATAGGGGAGCTCCACCGAAGGTCCCAGGGTTCTACCGCCCGCATGCGTCCCGCCCACCGAGTACTCCGTGGCCCCATAAGGAGCTCAACCAAAGATCCCAATGCTACCGCTCGCATGCGTCTCCCAGATCCAGTGTAGCGCTTCGTGGCCCCATAGGGAGCTCCACAGAAGGTCCCAGTGCTACCGCCCACTTGCGTCCCCCCCACCCAGTACAATGCTTTGTGGCCCCATAAGGAGCTCCACCGAAGGCCCCAGTCTCCCCCACCCATTCACGCGTTTCGGGGCCCACAGCGAGCTCCACCGACGGCCCCGGTGGCAAAGTTCGCATGCGTCTCCCCCATCCACTACAGCGTTTCGTGGCCCTACAGGGAGCTCCACCGAAGGTCCCAGTGCTACCACCCGCATGCGTCCCCCCCACGCGGTACAGCGTTTCGTGGCCCCATGGGGAGCTCCACCGAAGGTCCAAGCGCTACCGCCCGCATGCGCCCCCCCCAGCCAGTACAACGCTTCATGGCCCCATAAGGACCTCCGCCGAAGGCCCCAGTGCTACCGCCCACATGCGTCCCCACCTTTCAGTGCAGCGTTTCGTGGCCCCATTGGGAGCTCCACCGACGGCTCCAGTGCTACCGCCCGCATGCGTCCCCCCACCCTCTAATCCGTTTTGTGGTCTCATAAGGAGCTCCACCGACGGCCCCAGTGCTACCGCCCGCATGCGTCCCCCCCACGCGGTAAAGTGTTTCGTGACCCCATAGGGAACTCCACCGAAGGCCCCAGCGCTACCGCTCGCATGCGTCCCTCCCGCCCAGTACAGCGCTTCGTGGTTCCATAAGGAGCCCCACAGACGGCTCCAGTGCTACCGCCCGCATGTGCCGCCCCCGCCAAGTACACAGTTTCATGGCCCCTTCGGGAGTCCTACCAGCGGCGCCAGTGGCACTGTCCGCATGCATTCCCCCCACCCAGTGCAACGTTTCGTGGCCCCATAGGGAGCTCCACCGAAGGTCCCAGCGCTACCGCCCGCATGCGTCCCCCCCAACCAATACAACGTTTCGTGGCCCCACGGGGAGCTCCACCGAAGGCGCCGGGTGCTACCACCTGCATGCGTCCTTTCCACCCACTGCAACGTTTCGTGGCCCCATTGGGAGCTCCACCGAAGGCCCCAGTGCTTCCTCCCGCATGCGTCCCCCCACCCAGTAAAGCGCTTTGCGGCCCCATAAAGAGCTCCACTGGCTGCGCCAGTGGCACCGTCCGCACGCGTCTCCCCCAACCCGCACAATGCTTCGTGGCCCCACATGGAGCTCCACCGAAGGTCCCAGTGCTACCACCCGCATGCGCTCCACCATCCAGTACAGCCTATCGTTTGGAGCGGGTCTTAAACCGACCATTCTTCCTGCTGCGCTGCTGCGCTGGCACGGTTGCGGGGTTCGAGGCAGCAAACTGGACTATTACGCTGGAGGGCCAATTGAGACAACAGCGGCTCTCCCGCGGGGGGAAGAGAGAGAGGAGGAGAAAGGAACACAACGGTGGAAAATTGATTAGGGGGAGGAGGCTAAGGAGGAGGAGACCTCTCTGTTCCTCCAACACTCCGTGTCACCCAGACCTCTCAATGCAATGCCAAGGACCACCCTTTCTTCCCGAGTCGCTCTTCGAAGGCACTGGAGCTTAGAAACCGCCCTCAACCCAGCCACGGCAACCCGAAGCCTGTCGTTCAGGAAAACCAGCATTAAAAAACTGTTCGCTCCAATGGGCGCTTCTCTCATACCTCCGACGTCGTGAGCTTCTCACAAAAATTGGCCGCGGAGGTTTGACCTACTTCGCCAGGACCAGTGTTCCATCCCGAGTAGTTGGTTTACCTTGCCAGGGCCTGGCGAGGGCCGCAAGGGGGTCGGAACATGTTCCCGACGCGAGGGGGTCTGGGTTGGGCTCCGCGGAGGGGAGCAGCAGCGCCGGCGGCGGCGGCTATGGCCGCCGCGCGCCTGAGAAGCCGAGGAGGGAAAGAGAGTGGGCAAGAAGGGAGGGGGAAGGGGCAGGGAGGAGGAGCAGGAGGAGGGGGGAGGAGCAGGGAGGAGGGGGAGAAGCAGGGAGGAGGGAGGAGGGGCATGGAGGAGGGATGGGGAGCAGGGAGGAGGGGGGAGAAGCAGGAGGATGGGGGAGCGGAGAGCGGAGCCGAGCGGAGCTAAACGGGGGAATGGAGAGGAGGAAGGAAAAGCAGGAGCAGGAGGAGAAGGAGGAGGAGGAGGTGGAGGAGAGGAGGAGGAGGAGCAGCAGCAGCAGAAGGAGGAGGAGGGGGCAGGAGCAGGAACAGGAGCAGGAAGGGCGGGGCAGCGCCCGAGAGCAGCGAAACGGGAGGCGCGGCGGCGGCCGCCGCGTGCCTGCGGCTCCCCCTCGCGGGGCTCCTCGGAGCCCGCCGCCTTGGCGGCCTCGGGCGAGCCGCCCCCGCGCCGCGCGCGCGCGGGGGCGCTCCGGCTGTCCGGGTCGCTGTGGCTCGCGCTCGCTCGCTCGCTCGCTCGCTCGCTCTCTCTTTCTCTCTCTCTCTCTCTCTCTCTCTACATATATATATATATATATACGTATATATGTATATGTACATATATATATATATATATATAATATATATATATATATCGCTCTCTCTCCCCCCGTGGCGTCGTTTGGGAGGCCTCGTGGAGCGTACCGAAGGCCTGTTTGACCGTCCTGGGGCCAATCTGGGCCCTGTTTGAACGCTCTCGAGGCGTCTTGGGGCCCTGCTGGGCCTCCCCTCTGTCTCTCCCTCTGTCGCTCTCCCTCGCCCAGATCCTCCTCCTCCTCCTCCTCCTCCTCCTCCTCTTCCTGCTCCTCCTCGCCATCCCTCGCCAACCTCCTCCTCCCTCCTCCGCTCGGAAGCCACCCTCCTCCTCCTGGACTCATGCTCCAGCTCCCTGCTCCAGGCCCAACATGCTCCTTATGCTCCTCCTGGCTCCCCAGCTATGATGATCCTCGTACTTCTCCCCCTCACACACCTACTTCAACTTGCTTCCCAACCTGGCCCTCCCCCCTCGCCCTCCTCTTCCCTCCTCCTCCTCCTCCGTCCCTCCCTCCGTCTATCCCCCCCTCCCTCCATCCGCCCTGTGCGGCCTGTGCGCGGGAGTCCTCCCTCGCCGACGCCGCAGCCCTTCGCTTGCACGCCGGGGTGCTGCCGTCGCCTGGAGGCGCGCAGGCGAGAGGGTTCGGCTCGGACACGCTCGGGGGGCAAGATGAGTGAATTCAGATGAAGATGCGGTCGGGAACCGTTGCTTAGCGTGTCGCGGCGACGGCCCGGCGACAGACCATTCCCTATGAACTGACAGTCTGACAGCGTTCTCGCTCTGCCTCGTGGGACGGGAGGCTGGGAAGAGCTTGAAACGTTGACGCCTGGGGGCTGCGACGTGGTTTGCGTGTCACGTCGAAGCGTGGTGGGCCAGCACTGCAGCGCGACACACTGCTAAACGAAGACCCCCGACCGAAAATCGGGAAACAACTGAGAAGTGGCGGGTCTGAAGGATGTATCGGGCTCCGCGACCGTTTCAGAGCGCTCCAGAAAGCTCTGATAGCGTTCCAGGATATCCAGGGGCGATGTATATTCATCATAGGCCTACCTGGTCGACCACCTTCGCGGTCCATGATCCCTTGAACTCACGAGCTCGATTGTGGCGCGTCTTACAATATATAGGAGTGGGCACAGGCATGGTTTGAGAGTCGGCCAGGTCACGTCTCTAGACCACCGGTGCGGTGGATTCAGGGACAGCTGCGCGATCATCGGCCCTAAATGTCCCGACGACTCCCAATAGCTGCAGGCTGGAGGAGGAGAGGAGCGATTCCTCCTCTTTTACCCCCCTCCCCCTCCTACCTCCTCGTCAACCGCCCCCTCCTCATACACGCAACGACTCCCTTTATCTCTTCCCAGTCCTCGAGCGCGCTCCAGCGAGCGCCCTCCTCCTCCTCCTCCTTCTCCTCCTCCTCCTCCTTTTCCTCCTTTTCCTCCTCCTCCTCCATGCTCCTCCACCACCTCCTCCTCCACCACCTCCTCCTCCTCCTCCTCCTCCTCCTCCCTCCTCCTCCTCCTCCTCCTCCTCCTCCTCCTCCTCCTCCTCCTCCTCCTCCTCCTCCTCCTCCTCCTCCTCCTCCTCCTCCTCCTCCTCCTCCTCCTCCTCCTCTCCTCCTCCTCCTCCTCCTCCTCCTCCTCCTCCTCCTCCTCCTCCTCCTCCTCCCCCTCCTCCTCCTCCTCCTCCTCCTCCTCCTCCTCCTCCTCCTCCTCCTCCTCCTCCTCTCTCGGCCCACAGGGGGCCCGCGGGCAAGCTCCTCGGGGTGGTGCCGTGGGCCAACGAGAGGCCCAGCGAGAGACGCCCCCGAGGCGCCCGTGAGTTCGGCTCCCCCTCGAGAGCCGTCGGGGGGAGCCCCGGGAGAGCCTCGAGGGAGCCCCAGGAGGGCCCCAACAGCGGAGCTCACCTCCAGACAGAGGTTCCGTCGGCGCTACCCCACCCCCCCTGCCGTTGGCTTTGGCTTCCCCTCCTCCTCCTCCTCCTCCTGTGTTTTCTGACCTGTGGCCTATGGCCTCCTCTTCCTTCTCCTCGTCCTTCCCCTCCTCCTCCCGCTTCTCCTCCCGCTTCTCCTCCTCCTCCTCCTCCTCCTCCTCCTCCTCCTCCTCCTCCTCGTCTTTGTCCTCTTCCTGATCCTCCTCCTTCTGTTCAGTTCCCACCTGCCCCCTGCTCATCCCTCCCCCTTCTCCTCCCTTCTCCTCCCCTCTCCCCCCTCTCTTCCTCTTCCGCCTTCTCCACCAACATGTCCCCATTCTTGGCGCTCTCGTGGCACTCGTGGGGTTGTCTTGGGGCCTTCTTGGGTTGCGCCTGGGAGTCCTCTGCGTCGGCGGCCCGTCTTGGGGCCCACGTGGGGTCCTCTGGGGGCCTACTTGGGCCATCGTGGGCTCCTCTTGGTCGTCTTGGGGGTCTCTTAGGGGCTGTCTTGCGATTCGTGGTGCTCTTGAGCTGCTTTGGTCCGTCCAGACGCTTCGCCTCGCGGCTGTCTCCCGCCGTCGTGGGACCCTCTACCTTGGAGCCGCTGGCCACCTGTTGCCCCCCCCCCCCCGAGGCCACATGGGGAGCATCTTGGGCCGAGACGGTGCGCCTGTGCAGGTATTAGCAAGAGCCAGTGAGATTCGCTGGCTTTTGATAAGAGGTTGGCCGTCGGGGGGTCCTTCTGGGCCGCTCTCGGGCGGTCTTGGGCACATCGTGGGCTGCCCTGTGTGACGTTGGTGCCGCCGCGGGTCTGATGGGCCGTGCTCGGGTCGTCCCGACCCGCACCCTCTCGGGGGAGTCCTGGGCCGCGGTGGAGCCCCCTGGAGGAGCCACTGCGGGGCCCACGTTGGCCTGTCCGTGCCAGGCTACAGTGAAAACGTATCGTAAGGACGGGTGATGAGGACGCAAGACCCTTGGAGGCCGAGGTTCGGATCGTTTAGGCGGCGGGCGACCAGCGACAATGGCAAGGGCGGGCCTCAGAGGCGAGGACACAAGGGCACCCTAGATGAAGGCGCGCGTCCTTACTAGGCGCGTTGACTGTATGCTAATATGCTGGTCGGGTCGGAGGCGCAGGTGTCAAATGAAGAGGGCTGAGGTACCTTGCCGACGGCTCCAAATGTTAGACACGACTGGTCGACAACATGTGCTGGACGAGCTGGGCGAGACAAGCGAACCATCAAATCCTCAACCTTACCTACAACAGTAGCGTGGTCAGTCGGAATTCAATGTTTTCTCAAATCCTATGATACCGCTGCACCCTTAGACGAGACTGACGCAGCCATAGACAATGGCCGCGTGGAGTTCATTGCAGACAGCGGCGGTGCCCCATGTGCGCCAACACCTTAGCATACCAACGATCGATCACCGTTGACATGCAAAGTGCAAAGACTACCAACATGCAGCGTGAGACAGGCAATCCGTCGAACTAGATCGCTTGTGGTAGCATGGTTGGTGCTGGGGTTAAGCGCAACGCGCGTGCTGAGCCGCACTTTGGGACTACTTACTACCGGCGCTGGAAAATGCATCTGGCCTCCAATGTGATTTACGGCAAATGTGAATCGTGTGGACATGGCAGCTACCCATGGGACCGAGCGAACACGACGGTTGTTCTGTCAAGAGGCACGCGTTCAATGGCGGCCCTTGCCCTTCAAACTTCTGAGCAAGTTGCCCTTGCCCTTGCCCGTGCCCTTCAATGGCCGCCATTGCCCTTGCCCTTGCCCTTTCTAGTCGTGCGACGAAGCCCCTCCAACTTCTCCACGACGCGTTTCAGCGCCCCCAGATTGCCAGCTTCCTTCCCGAAGACGAAACCTAGGCTCGCGAAGCGCGCAGGCATCTCTTGACCCAGCTCGTAGTCGAAGCACGCGAACTTGGAGTGGGCGAGCTTCACGACGCGGCCGCCACGCTGTGCGACCGCCGCTTTCAAGGCCATGACGCCGTCGGAGTCCCTCCAGTCCGGGTACATCCCCGCGCCGAGGAGGCCCCAACGGTCGACCAGTTCGCAGGTGCGCTTCGCGCACGCAGCGAGCTCCGCCTCGATGTACGGTGGATTGGCGACGAGGAGGGAGCCCGCGGGTACCTCCCGCAGAAACTCGTCCACCGCCGGGCTGTGGAAGGAGCCGAGGCTGCCAAAGGCGATGTCGACGGGCACGCACTGCGAGCAGAACACTTCCAGGGAGTGGTTGAACGGCGAAGCGTAGCACTCCATGACGGCGTGGCTGGCCGCGCCAGCGCCCGCGTAGAAGCCAGGGCCGACGCCCCAGTGAAGGCCTGACGCTGACAGGACGTAGTTCAGAACCAGCGTCTTGAAGACGCGCTCCGCGGCCTCTGTGGGAGCCCCGCCTCGCAGAGCCCGCGGGCAGAACCGGCGCACGAAGGCCTCTGCGCGCCCGCGCAGCTCGCGCGCTCTCTCGCTGGGGCACCTGAGCTCTGCGCGCGGGAACGAGCAGCGGAGTCGGAAGAGGCAGAGCGTGCCCTCGCTCGACTCCTCCAGCCGCCCGAGGACGGCCACCGACCCGGGGTGCTCGGGGACCAGGCTCTCCAGGTCGCAGAAGGAGGTCAGCGTCCAGGGGAGCTCCTGCATCCTCTTCTCCTTCAGTTCGCGCTGCATTTGGACGAAGGCGCGGTCAAATCCATCGCAGTCTGACGCTGGCCCCACCGTGTTCCGTGCTGCCATGTAAAAGCGCGAGTAGGCGTTGTTGAACTCATACTCGCTGGCGACAGCTCCAGTGGCCAAGTGACGCCACGCCAAGTCGCGAAACTGGAGAAACCTGTCGCAGACGCGCACGCTTTCAGCGAGGCAATCCTCCAAGTGCTCGCCAAACGCCGTCAACTCTTTTTGCAGGACGCCGTCAGCAAGCGCGCGCAGGTGAGAGGCTGCACGCGCAGGCAGCGCTGCCAGCGCTGCGTCGTGAGAAGCGGTGGTTGCGGGAACCTTCGGGACAATTTCTTTCAAATACTTGGTGCCCTGCCTCCGCACTGCCGCCATGGTCAGCGTGCCCAGCCGAATCAACGGCTCCAACCCCATGGCGAAGCGGTAGCTCACCCACTTCTCAGTCTGCACGAAGCGGTCGGCGCAATCCTGGAACTGCAGCGCCACTGTGTTGCACTTCACGCCCACGCTCCGATCATCGAAGACCTTGCTCCAATCGCCCTCCATGGTCAAAGTGTTTTGCACGTTACCGAGCGCCGCAGAACAGCAGCCGCAATGAACCTTGTGCAATTTGAAAGGCATTGCGCCGGCCTCTGGGTGCGGCGCGAAGCGGCCATTCTCGAGGCACTGCTCCGTCGTGAAGCACATGAGGCTCGGCACCCGCTTCAGACGCTCCTGCACGGTCCCGTCTTTCGGCTGGTGGACGTCCCAGAGGAGCAAGCAGTCCGCGAGGTTGGCGCAGAGAGCGTGGCACTGCCCGCACCGCATCCAGCCAGCGGCAGGCTGGGCGCCATCTGGCGTGCGGGCGGGCGTCGTCGACGACGGCGTGCGGGCTGGCGCCATGACCCGGCCCCGCGTCGCCGAGGTGAACGCTGAGCTGAACTTCTCGAAGACGTCCTGTCTCGTGTCGTCGAGGCGCAGGCCTGGAACCAGGGGCCAAACGCTGACCTGACATGTGGGCGTGGGCAGCCCCGCCCTCTCGCAGTGCTCCGCGTAGCACATCAGCGCCTGCGCGTGCCGGTTGTTCAGCGAGTAGATCTCCCCATGGAACCGCACGCCGCGGAGCGTCATTGTTTCGTCCGTGGGCTGGATCTTTCCCTGGACCATGCTGTCGACCAGCCAATCAATGGACCGTCCGCTGTGCGTGCCGTGGCGGAAGCTGGTGGAGCACTTGTTGTGGGTGAAGAGGACCTTGGAGACAAGGCATGCAGTCAGCTCGGTGGGGGGGGGCGAGCCGATCATGGAGTATCCCTCGCAGCCTCTCGTGGCACGGATCCCGCCAGTCGTCCCACCTGACCTGCACCTCCTGAATGCACGTCAACAATGTCTTTTCGTCAGCGCGGCACCTCCCGCACGCGAGAACTTCCTGGCACAAATGCAGGGTCTCCCACACAGCATTCCAGTTCTGACGGCCGAGGGACGTGAGCAACTGCTCCAAGGCCTCCACGTAACGGCGTATGCCCTGGCTGCAGTCCGCAAACGCCATCTGTTTGTCGACTGAGGGCGTGAGCGTCGGACCGAGAGGAAGGATTGAGCCACTGTTGACTCGAGCGGCTGTGGCGGAAGCCCCGAGGAGAACCAAGGGGCATTGCTTGGCGGGGTGGTGGGCCGCCGAGGAATGGGGGTCACCGCGAGGGTGGGGGTCGCCAGAGCGCGCAGGCTGCACAGGGCTTCGAGAGTCGTGCGGCACCTCAGGCCCATGCCTCCGGCGCCCTTTCGGCCTCTGGGGCCGCCCAGACAGCGATGCACGAGTCTGATCCACCAGGGGGGGGGGGGGGCGAGAAGCTCTACCAGCGATCCTTTGCGGGCCTGACCGTGTCTCTAACTTCACGGTTCGGAGGCAACAGAGCCGCGCCCTGCGGGCGGCCTGCGGCCGTTGCCCTTTGGGCGTCTCTGGGGGCGGCGGGCCTAGACGTCGCCTCCCCGGCCTGGCTTCGCGCCGGCAGACGGCGAGCATGCCCGTGAGTGGGGAAAAGTCGCCCCGTCGGAGGTTTTGTGGGGGGGCCGCCGATCGCAGCCACGTTTGCGGCTGCTTCCCCTCGTCGGAGTCGGCCCCCTCACAGCTGGCGGGCAAATCGGACAGGAGGCCGATCTGCCAGCGGATACCCTGCGAGAATTGCTCGTTGCCCGATGGATTCAGCACCCCCTGGGGCGCCGTGCGAAGCACAAGGTCGCTGCGGGATGTGCCCTCCCTTAAATCCCACTAGCCCTTTAGGGCGTAGGTGGTTCAGGGTGTTTCCTCTTCCACCCCCTTCTTCCACTTGAGGGAGGTTTACCACTGTTCCCTACTAATATACACCCTCTCCCCTAGGCAACTGGGAGCCAACCCAGGTCCATGCGGCCCCCCCCCCACTATCCATTGTAAAAAACAATACAAAACAAGCTCTGCCCCACCATCCCTTGTAAACAACAATACAAAACACACTCTGCCTCCAAATTCGGAGCATGCGCAGCGAACCCGATGCGGCCTCCTCCCACCATCCCTGTCGAAATACAATGCAGAGTACACTTGGCGGCGGGGCGGCTGCGGCGGCTGCGGCGGGGGCAGCGGCTGCGGCTTCTGCGGCGGTGGCGGCGGCGGGGGCGGCGGCGGCGGCGGCGGCGGGGGCGGCGGCGGCGGCGGCGGCGGCGGCGGCAGCGGTGGCGGCAGCGACTGCGGCGGCAGCGGCTGCGGCGGCAGCGGCTGCGGCGGCGGCGATTCGGCAGGGGGGGCGACGGCGGCGGCGGCGGCGGCGGCGACGACGCGGCGGGCGGCGCGGTGGCGGCGGCGGCGGCGGACAGCGGCGGCGGCGGCGGCGCGGCAGCGGCGGCGGCGGGCGGCGGCGGCGGCGGCGGCGGATGCGCCCCCAGTAGCTGCCCATTCAAAGACGACTACCCCCTCCCCTGGGCCTAGACGGGGCGTTTCGCGAGCGGTCGGAGCGTCCAAAACGGCCTCGGCGAGGAAGCCAAAATCATTCATGTTACTATGGTTTTGGCCCCATTTTGGCCTCTTGGGGGGGCGACGCTGGTTAAGGAACTCCCCTTTTGTGATCGATCCCCTCAGAGATGGCCCCACGAGCGCTCCCAAAGCTCCCAAGGGTGCCCCAAGAGGGCCCCAAGAGGTGGCCGGGAGGCCCCACGAGGCCCCCAAGAGGCCACCAGGATGCCCCCAAGAGGCTCCCAAGAGACCCCCAAGAGGCCCCAATAGGTCCCCCAGAGGCACCCAAGACGCTCCAAGAGGCGTCGGCGAGAATGCGAAAATCATTGATTGTATTAAGATTTTGGCCACAGTTTGGCCTCCTGTGGGGGGGGGCACTGCTTAAGACGACTCCAAGAGCGCCTGGGAGAGCCCAAGATGACCTCCAAGATGGCTCAAGATACCCCCAGATGCCTCAAGATGGCTCCCACGATGCTCCAAGAGGCCCCCAAACCGCTGCAAATCGGCTCCAAGTGGCCAAAGAGCTCTCCCAGGAGGCCCGAAAGAGGCCAACATCCTTGCAACAACCTTCGGAAAATCACTGTTTTTGGCTTTCTCGCCTTTTCGCTTCCGATGGCCATCCGAGGCCTCAAGATGGCTCCAAGATGGCCCAAGAGGGCTCCAAGAGCGCTCCCAAGGCTCTCATGAGCAATTCAAGAGGGCCCCAAGAGGCGCCCAGGAGGCCCCAACAGGCGCCCAAGAGGCCTCCAAGAGGCTCCCAAGAAACCCCCAAGAGGCCCCAAGAAGCTCTCCGAGTCACCCAAGACGCTCTAAGAGGCGCCCGTGACCGCCAAGAGGCCCCCAAGACGCTCCAAGAGGTCTCCACTGGGGGACCCTTCCTCTGTGTGCTGCCCACTTCCTTGATCGAGGCAATCCCACCAGCCCTCTGGGCGTAGGTGGTTCCGGGAGTTAGCTCTTCCATCTTCCCTTCTTCCCCGTCGGGGAGGGGTTTACCCCTCCCCCTAACCCCCTCCCCTGGACTTGGACGGGGGGGGCCGCTGGTAGTTAGAGCGTCCAAAACGGCCTCGGCGAGGAAGCCAAAATCATCGGTTTTACAATGGTTTTGGCCCCATTTTGGCCTCTTGGGGGGGCAAGGCTAATTAACCCCACCCTCTTCTTTGATCGATCTTCTCCAAGATGGCCTCAAGAGGCGCCCAGGAGGCCCCAAGAGGCTTCCAAAAGGCCTCCAAGAGGCCCCAAGAGGCCGCCATGAGGCCCCAAGAAGCCCCCAAGAGGCTCCAAGAGGCTCCCAGGATGGTTCCAAGAGGCCTCCAAGAGGCTCCAAGAGGCCACCATGAAGCTCCAAGAGACCCCTAAGAGGCCCCAAGAGGCCTCCAACAGGCCCCCAGGAGCCCCCCAAGAGGATCCCAAGCGGCCTCAAGAGGCCCCCCCGAAGCACCCAAGACGCCCAAGAGCCCCCATTGACCGCCAAGAGACCCCCAAGACGTCCGAAGAGGCTTCCAAAAGGCTTCCAAGAGGCATCCCAGCGGCATTCAACCATCCACCCAGCGTCATCATTCTCCTCATCCCTCATTCGCTCGGTTCCTCGCCACGCCCTCATCTATCCATCTGGCCTCCTCTTCCGCCTCATCCTTTGCACGGATCGGCTGTCCCTCTCGTTGCTCCCCCACTTCCCTGATCTCTTCAACTTGCTTGGACATCGTTTCTGGATGGGCTGCTGGGGACACGCGAAGCGTCAAGAATTTCTCTGGGCATCGTTTCTGGATGGGCTGGTGGGGTTACGCGAAGCGTCAAGAACTGCGTCACTTGTAGCGAAATTTTCCATCGTATATACAGAATGTAACAATGGATAACGCGCCAGCGTGCACGATATGATGAAATCCTCTATTTCCCATTCGCACGTCCAGGTGCTCTCGACCCTTTCCAGAAAACAAGTTGTTTTGCGCTGGGGCGTTGATTGACTCCTCTGTGTGCCCGGGAAAAGGCCATGGAGGCCAACAGTGATGAGAAACCTCAGTCTCGATTTGTCCACGACGTTGCAGGAGAGGTCCGCGCTGCCTCCCCAGAGCACCAGCGACTCGAGAACACCCCGCCAGAGGTTCGTCCACTCTTTTCGACGTCTGGGGACCGCTTATGAGCCTGGGGGAAGGTCAACACACAGACTCAGGAGATGAAGAAGAGCAGGCCCCGGGAGAGGGGTCGGTCGCGAACTCCACGGGTCAAGTCAAGTCAAACCACGTAAGCCGTGCATCCTGTAGGACGCGCGGGCAGAAAGAGAGATGCGTGTAGAGCACCTGCAGAAGCAAAAAGTTCGTACGCAATGAGGGCACGCGTGGTTCCTTTCTACTCGTGCTCGTTTCTAGCTGTTCCTGGCCCCACTAGTGGCCAGGAAGCGGCCCAGGATGGAACAAACAATCAGAAATGAAAGGATCTTGCCCCCAACAAAACCAATGAATTGTCGAAGACTTAGAAATGAACAATGTGTAGCTGTGCCTGGATAGACCCGCTGCCCCTCGAGGGGGCCATCTTGACCAAGATGAAGGCAAACATCTGCGCTGGCCCAGGGCACGGGCATGGGCGGCCCCCAGGGCCAGCGGCTGGCAGAGCCACATACCATCGGAGATCTGGGTCTATGTTGTTCCCACCGCTCGGCTACAGTAATGGAGGATGATGATGAATAAATGACCGGGGGTCGTGTTCACGCGGCGGCGCCCGGGATGACGATTAAAAAAAACCGGCCGCGGGCTGGAAAACTATTCTCTTTTGAATCGTTCTTCTCCAGTCAGAAAATCATGCAGAAATAGCAGAAAACTATGTTTTAATCGTTCTCTCAAACTTTTTAATTAATCGTCATCCCGCATTAGGCTGGTGATTGAGGCTAAAGTAGGCTGGAACATCAGAGGTCTGGGTCCGCTTGTCTGGCAGGCCGCGGACCGCGGCCTGGCCTCGAAGAGCTCCGGCACAGCCCCCCCACGTCGGCTCGCCACCTGTTGCAAGGGTCTCCAAGACCCTGACACCCTCCCGCCCTTTGAGGCCGTGCATTGTCATGCAGCGGCATGCGAGGCACAGGTCGGCGACTGGAGGCTCCCACGCCCCCCGAATCACTCTGGGTCGCCTTCGCTGGAGCCCGCGCCATCACGTCGGCGGCGCATTCCGGGGGCTGGGGTGGTGATGGCATCTGCGCCGGCATGACCTGCGGCGGGCAGCGCAAACGCAAATGGCGAGAGATGAGAGACGGCGCGTAGGAAACGGCACAGCACGCAAGCAAAGAGCCAACAAGCCCACGAACCTCAATTCGAGCGCCCTCAGTCAACGCCAATCCTGTCCGCTGCTTTCCGTGTCCCACCCCTCACTTGCGGTCGGGGTCCTCTGCTTGGCGTGTCGCGGCGGCAGGCCCGGCGACACACTGTGCCCTGCAGGGGCAGGGCGTGTGGCTCCGCTCCGCGGGGCGGGAGGCTGGGAATATCTCGGGACGTTGAAGCTCCGGGACTGTGACGTGGATGCCGTGTCGCGCCGAAGCGAGGTGGGCCAGAGCCAGAGGAGGGACACGCTAAGCAAAAGCTCCTGACCGCATCCAGCTTTGCTCCGTCGCCTTCGCCGCCCTCCCATCTCGCCGACTGATTCCTCCGAGTCTGGGATTTCGACTCATTGTTGGGTCCGTCCTTGCGCTACTTACCAACTCCGGCGCCCTTCTCCTCCTCGACCCCGTCCAAGAGAGCGCACCCTTGTAGCCCCGAGTGGGCCCGCAGAAGCCCCAGGTGGCTCTCGGTGGCTGCACGCGAGTCACTTTTGGGTGCAGACGGCTAGAGCAACCTGGGGCCACTCTTGTCCAGGGTCGCGCCTGCGGCAAGTTTAGCCCTGGGCACAGGTGATCTTGGGTGTGCGGCCTGCAGACCACTGTACAGTCGAGGCGTTGACCTAAGGAACCCTAAATAAGGAACGAGGCCCCTTTTTTCTTGAGTTAACCTTCGACTTCCCATCGAAAACTCGAGGAAAAACTTGGGCAAGGTGTGGAACAATTAAGGAACACCGAGCCCCTCCCCAACGAAAAGGGTTCCTTCTTCAGCGCCCCGACTGTATGCGAAGCGACAGTAGCTGCCTGCGTACTCGGGCTTGCCCCCCCGACAAAGAAATTAGCCTGGCGAAGGACCCAACCATATGCAGTTGAGAGTACCGCAATTGTGAATATCTTCTTCGGTGGCGCTCCCTATGGGGCCACGAGCCGTATGAGGGGTGTGCCGAAATGCGTGGCAGTGTACACAACACGAACGAAGACGATAGGTCCGAATATGAAAGCTTGAGCGCGTGCGAGTCGGATCGCGAGCGAGTCTGATTATGAATGAATCTGCGCGCGATTGATTCTATTCGCATGAATGCGTGCATGGATACGCCCAGTGTAAATGTATGTATACGACTGTGAACAGTTTGGGTCTGCGTGACTCTCGGTACTCGTGACTCTGAGCGTCGCCTCTGCAGGGGGCTTCCCTGGGAACCCCGACGGCAGCGCCCGCGCGCCGCGACGCCCATGTCGGCACGCCACACACCTGGTGTGCGGGACGCATGCGGACGGCAGCACTGGGGCCTTCGGTGGAGCTCCCTGTGGGGCCACGAAACGTGTGAGGGGTGTGCCGAAATGGGTGTGCGGGACGCATGCGGACGGCAGCCATGGGGCCTTCGGTGGAGCTCCCTATGGGGCCACGAAACGTGTGAGGGGTGTGCCGAAATGGGTGTGCGGGACGCATGCGGACGGCAGCACTGGGGCCTTCGGTGGAGCTCCCTGTGGGGCCACGAAACGTGTGAGGGGTGTGCCGAAATGGGTGTGCGGGACGCATGCGGACGGCAGCCTGGGGCCTTCGGTGGAGCTCCCTATGGGGCCACGAAACGTGTGAGGGGTGTGCCGAAATGGGTGTGCGGGACGCATGCGGACGGCAGCACTGGGGCCTTCGGTGGAGCTCCCTGTGGGGCCACGAAACGTGTGAGGGGTGTGCCGAAATGGGTGTGCGGGACGCATGCGGACGGCAGCCATGGGGCCTTCGGTGGAGCTCCCTGTGGGGCCACGAAACGTGTGAGGGGTGTGCCGAAATGGGTGTGCGGGACGCATGCGGACGGCAGCACTGGGGCCTTCGGTGGAGCTCCCTGTGGGGCCACGAAACGTGTGAGGGGTGTGCCGAAATGGGTGTGCGGGACGCATGCGGACGGCAGCATGGGGCCTTCGGTGGAGCTCCCTGTGGGGCCACGAAACGTGTGAGGGGTGTGCCGAAATGGGTGTGCGGGACGCATGCGGACGGCAGCCTGGGGCCTTCGGTGGAGCTCCCTGTGGGGCCACGAAACGTGTGAGGGGTGTGCCGAAATGGGTGTGCGGGACGCATGCGGACGGCAGCCATGGGGCCTTCGGTGGAGCTCCCTATGGGGCCACGAAACGTGTGAGGGGTGTGCCGAAATGGGTGTGCGGGACGCATGCGGACGGCAGCACTGGGGCCTTCGGTGGAGCTCCCTGTGGGGCCACGAAACGTGTGAGGGGTGTGCCGAAATGGGTGTGCGGGACGCATGCGGACGGCAGCATGGGGCCTTCGGTGGAGCTCCCTATGGGGCCACGAAACGTGTGAGGGGTGTGCCGAAATGGGTGTGCGGGACGCATGCGGACGGCAGCCATGGGGCCTTCGGTGGAGCTCCCTTGGGGCCACGAAACGTGTGAGGGGTGTGCCGAAATGGGTGTGCGGGACGCATGCGGACGGCAGCACTGGGGCCTTCGGTGGAGCTCCCTGTGGGGCCACGAAACGTGTGAGGGGTGTGCCGAAATGGGTGTGCGGGACGCATGCGGACGGCAGCCATGGGGCCTTCGGTGGAGCTCCCAGTGGGGCCACGAAACGTGTGAGGGGTGTGCCGAAATGGGTGTGCGGGACGCATGCGGACGGCAGCACTGGGGCCTTCGGTGGAGCTCCCTGTGGGGCCACGAAACGTGTGAGGGGTGTGCCGAAATGGGTGTGCGGGACGCATGCGGACGGCAGCCATGGGGCCTTCGGTGGAGCTCCCTATGGGGCCACGAAACGTGTGAGGGGTGTGCCGAAATGGGTGTGGAGGAGGGAGGAGGGCGGAGGAGGAGGAGAGGAGGAGGAGGAGAGGAGGTGGGACGCGGGGCGCTGTCTCTTCAAAACGATGACCCAACACCACAGGATGGTTGGGAAAAAACCATGCACCAGACGTCGCTCCGGCGAAGACCCCCTCGGACGTGTCGCCGATCCCGGGCGGCTGGGAAGCCCCGCGAAGGGGTGCGGCACCGAGGACGCCGAAGCGCAGGGCGCCCAGACTTTGTGGGCCTCGGAAGTACCGCAATTGTGAATATTTTCTTCGGTGGCGCTCCCTATGGGGCCACGAGCCGTATGAGGGGTGTGCCGAAATGGGTGTGCGGGACGCATGCGGACGGCAGCCATGGGGCCTTCGGTGGAGCTCCCTATGGGGCCACGAAACGTGTGAGGGGTGTGCCGAAATGGGTGTGCGGGACGCATGCGGACGGCAGCCCTGGGGCCTTCGGTGGAGCTCCCTATGGGGCCACGAAACGTGTGAGGGGTGTGCCGAAATGGGTGTGCGGGACGCATGCGGACGGCAGCACTGGGGCCTTCGGTGGAGCTCCCTATGGGGCCACGAAACGTGTGAGGGGTGTGCCGAAATGGGTGTGCGGGACGCATGCGGACGGCAGCACTGGGGCCTTCGGTGGAGCTCCCTATGGGGCCACGAAACGTGTGAGGGGTGTGCCGAAATGGGTGTGCGGGACGCATGCGGACGGCAGCACTGGGGCCTTCGGTGGAGCTCCCTATGGGGCCACGAAACGTGTGAGGGGTGTGCCGAAATGGGTGTGCGGGACGCATGCGGACGGCAGCCATGGGGCCTTCGGTGGAGCTCCCTATGGGGCCACGAAACGTGTGAGGGGTGTGCCGAAATGGGTGTGCGGGACGCATGCGGACGGCAGCACTGGGGCCTTCGGTGGAGCTCCCTGTGGGGCCACGAAACGTGTGAGGGGTGTGCCGAAATGGGTGTGCGGGACGCATGCGGACGGCAGCCATGGGGCCTTCGGTGGAGCTCCCTATGGGGCCACGAAACGTGTGAGGGGTGTGCCGAAATGGGTGTGCGGGACGCATGCGGACGGCAGCACTGGGGCCTTCGGTGGAGCTCCCTGTGGGGCCACGAAACGTGTGAGGGGTGTGCCGAAATGGGTGTGCGGGACGCATGCGGACGGCAGCCATGGGGCCTTCGGTGGAGCTCCCTATGGGGCCACGAAACGTGTGAGGGGTGTGCCGAAATGGGTGTAGGGGACGCATGCGGGCGGCAGCCTCGGGCCTTCGGTGGAGCTCCCTATGGGGCCACGAAACGTGTGAGGGGTGTCCGAAATGGGTGTGCGGGACGCATGCGGACGGCAGCCATGGGGCCTTCGGTGGAGCTCCCTATGGGGCCACGAAACGTGTGAGGGGTGTGCCGAAATGGGTGTGCGGGACGCATGCGGACGGCAGCACTGAGGCCTTCGGTGGAGCTCCCTATGGGGCCACGAAACGTGTGAGGGGTGTGCCGAAATGGGTGTGCGGGACGCATGCGGACGGCATGGGGGGTGTGGGGCCACGCGTGACCGAAATGGGTGTGCGGGGCATGCGGGCAGCACTGGGGCCTTCGGTGGAGCTCCCTGTGGGGCCACGAAACGTGTGAGGGGTGTGCCGAAATGGGTGTGCGGGACGCATGCGGACGGCAGCCTGGGGCCTTCGGTGGAGCCTTCGGTGGAGCTCCCTATGGGGCCACGAAACGTGTGAGGGGTGTGCCGAAATGGGTGTGCGGGACGCATGCGGACGGCAGCACTGGGGCCTTCGGTGGAGCTCCCTGTGGGGCCACGAAACGTGTGAGGGGTGTGCCGAAATGGGTGTGCGGGACGCATGCGGACGGCAGCCTGGGGCCTTCGGTGGAGCTCCCTATGGGGCCACGAAACGTGTGAGGGGTGTGCCGAAGTGGGTGATGACGATGACGATGACGACGATGACAATGACGATGATGATGATGATGATGATGATGATGATGATGATGATGATGATGATGATGATGATGATGATGATGATGATGATGATGATGATGATGATGATGATGATGATGATGATGATGATGATGATGATGATGATGATGATGATGATGATGATGATGATGATGATGATGATG